AACCTAGCTCCCCGGATTGATCTCGATATGTTGTGGCCGAACGGCGCGTCTTTTACGACGCATCGAGTCTTCAAGATGGAGATTTCAGTTAATATTAGAGATAATGAGTTAAAAAAATTCTTCATGTCAGTTTGAATTGTACCACCGAGTGGCGTTGGTTAATTTAGATTCCCGTAGTGTGCACCTGTACAACGTTGGTACTAGTAGATGCATTCTGAGAAGGACTCCGGGCGTTTCCGGCTTGCCCTGCTAGCTATTCGGAGCTGTATGGGACGCGGGCCGCGTCACGCGGCATTTCCTGTGATGAGCTCTCCTTATTCTAACTCCCTTGAAATACAGAGTTAGAGTGCAGTAAGGCCCATACCTGGCCTTACTGAAGAAAATCCAGACCACTACACCCAAGAGCCAAAGTGGTGATGCATTGATCTTCCTGAGTGGGGCACAGGAGATTGAATGCTTATTGCGGAGTGAGCGGAGCTTATGTTACTGCTCACGAACACTCGTGTGCGTGCGTGCGTCCGTCCGTCCGTCCGTCCGTCCGTCCGTCCGTCCGTCCGTCCGTCCGTGCGTGAGCAAAAATCCCGACCCGACCAGGGCGATTCAGAAGACAAACAGGGTATCATTCTGTCACCCGTTGACTGCTTATCAGCGTAAAAATATAGCGAAAGTGTGCCTGTTGCTTCGCCCGCTCATTTTTGACGAAACGATTCTTCGCACGAGAGATGAACTATTAGCTCAGTACGTTAGTGACCACGCTCTCAATCGAACGACCCAGGGTCGGATCCCACGATGATTACTTTCATCATATGTCCCCATGAGGAGAAAGTGGTCGGCCACGTCGACGACACCAGCCAACCTTCGGCAACTTCTTGTTTTTTAGTAACCCAATTTACAAAATAATTTCAATTAGAGCCCGCTGTATTCTTGACAGGAAGCTCAGCGAGACCTGGTGCAACGCTATACGAGATGAGCCCGAGATCTCACGTATGTCGATACCTGTAACAGCATACCACTCGTATCGCAATTGATGGTATTCGCTTTGTGATCGACAGTGGTAAAGTTGAAGAGCTGAGTGTGGATGCGGGAAGCAGTACTAGGCGATTGGCAGAGCAATGGATATCACTGGCTAGTGCTGATCCACGGACGGGCACATCTGGCC